GTCTATACAAATGGTATGCATGTTTTTATCTATTTGATAAACTTGCAGAGATTCACAAAGAGCATGCTAAAACCAATTAAATATGCAAATCACTTATTAATAAAATGCACAGATTAATTGAATCATGAAACTACATAAACAGTACATGTATGTACAAAGTTTCAACCCATTCAAGCTAACTTAGAAAATAAGCAAAACATTCTGAAAGTATTTTGCAAATTACCAAATTAATATGCATGGATTTACATGGACGGACTTTACAGGGACAAACAGACGAGTGGATGAACTTAATTGGGTACAACATTACATTGTGCAGAGTATGAATAAGAGATAAAAAACAAGTAGAACTCAGGAGAAGAAACAAAATGGCCACCAACCGGCCATTTTGAATCAACTCATGAAACAAAGTGGCATGGAAACATGGGTGATGTCAATATACCAATTGGGCAATAAAACACTTACTTTCAGAGACTAGTTTATTATCATCCATTCTGCTCATTTCAAGTTCATTATCTTTGTGATTATTAATCCCACCAAGAATGTTACACTGTGTAGGCAGTTGCTGATTTGGTGGTGGCAAAGCTGTAACACAAGCTGTCTCGCCACTGACGGCTGGTTTGTCTTCAAGATGGTTTGGGGAACCATCCTCATCACCGTCACTGTAAGGCGTAGCTCGCTGTGTAACTTCATCTTCTGTTTGTACATCTGCAGGGACTTGAAAGAGGAGAGATTTAAATATATTATAAATTCAGAAGTTTGGTTTTGAAGAATATCAAAATTGTATACAAGATTGCACACAGGAGTGGTGACAGAGAAAAAAAATAACAGGCATGAAACAAAACATCACAAAATTTAGATGTCAAAACAATCTCATCATAAGTTCATGTTATCACTCCCTCATAATCATCATCTGTGGAAAATACTTTAACAAGTAAGTTTAAGAAATTTCAACACAAACAGTCAGAGATGTGGCTCCAAAACTGAATTTGCTGAAACAAAATGACCACAATCTAATCCGGAAAACAAAACAGATGTGCATCAGGTCCCATATTGTATGCACTATTTTTTTGGAGTAAAATTCATGCACACATGACTGAGATGTGGTTCTGGAATGGCGGAAAACATTCAACAAATTTTTGACATTAAAATGGCCACCATTCAGCCATCTTGAATTGAATTGTCCAATGATTATGTGCATATGTGTGCCATGATGTGTATATAATGTTTGAATATGACCGATCAAGGCATGTCAGAGATATGGCTCTTGAACCGAATTTGTTAAAACCAAATATCCGCTAGTCAGCCATTTTGAATCAGCTCTCACGAAAACAAAATGACGTGCATCAAGGTGCAATAATGTCTAATGTATCGTATGCACCAAGTTTTCCATACCAGGCCAGATTTGGTTTTGAAATGACAGAAATGCTTGATTTTGATGATTTTTTTTTGGCACAAAAAAGGCTGTCATTCAGCTATCTTGAATTGGATCAGGAAATGAACAGACATGAATATGTCACCAAAAATTTGTGAGGTATTTGTAAAGTTTGAATGTGATCAGACCAAGCATTTCCAAGATACAAATGAAGACGGACACAAACTTGCATGCACAAATACTTGCACACACACAGAAGTCAAAACACAAGTGCTTGTTTTTGGACTGCATCCGAACGGGGACTAACAAGTTCAGTGACAATCCTAATACCAAACCAAACATGATTAAAATATCAGTAAGTACACACTGTGTTTCTAACAATTAGTTAACAACTCAAATTACCTTGAATAGATTCCTGGGAATTACTAGAACTTGGAACACTTTGATCATCGATTCCTGAATCTGATAGCTGTTCTACCAGAATTTTATATTCTGTGAAAGAAACACAAGATACAAAACATCTAATGTGAATCATTTAAATGTTATAAATATATAACAAAAGTCAGCACTCGTCAATCACCCAATATAATGATTTCCTATATGGTATGTAATTTTTTGCTCCCATGTGTAAGAAGCAAACAAAGGAAGACAATGTGTTTGGTGTGTCTGTTCGTGGTCTGTCTGTTTGTCAAATTTACCTTGGAGTAATGTTCAGACATGAATACCGGTAGTTTTGGAGCCATGACATGCATAGTCAATCTTGTGCATTAACTCAAGTGTGCGACCCAAACTTGGCAATATAACACCTTCATTTTTGGTAGACGTACTGAGGTCGGTTGGAGAAGGTAAGGTAAGAGTACTCTTTTTTTTTTGGTGTGAAAATATGCCTGCCACACCCAAAAAGGGACTTCAAAACAAAGTGAAAGGAAAACACAAAGTTTTTGAACTTGAAATGTTGTAACTAATCAGAATCCAACATTGTTTTTTTGTTCAATCAATGCATATAAGAGAAATAGATAACAATTTCATGAGTCTTGTAGGATAAGATTCTGTCTGCACTCACCTGAATTTTGGCCATCTGTAGACTCTGAACCTAAAAAAATGAAATGTTATAGATGAATGTTACATACTTAACATGACGTATGTATACATGATATATTATACAAATGACAATTTACACATTTTATGTTATATTTTCACTAAGTGATACTTCACACTAAACATAACATTATCCTCATTAAAAGTTATAATTCGGTGATTGTCCAAACAGTATGTGGAGGAAACCAAACCATGCGACTATGATATGAGAATTTCAGATTGACTAACAATGACAAGATAAAAATAATTCTTAACAAGTCATTGAAAATGACACAGTCCCCGTTAAATTTTTGAAAGTTCTCTTTGTGCTCGCCATATTAAAGCGGAGGGGTTGTCGCGAGCGTGTCCTTGAAACTTGAGTTCCAAGTGGTGTATACAACAGATTGTTTATTTACATCAAAACACATGTTCCGTGTAGTAGTAATATGTCCAAAAAAAAAAAAAAACAGCCGTTATTCGGCCATCTTTGATCTGATTATGAAACACACTGATATGTATGATGTATGTGCCAAATACGAATGAAAATGGTACATAAATTGTGGAAATATAGTAGTAAGGCCAAAAAGTCAGATGGCTGTCAATCGGCCATCCATATTTTGAAACAAATTGTCATGGACATGCATCCTAACATGTATAAAGTACGTGTATGTGCCAAATTTGAATGAAAACTGACAGAGCACGTCCAGATACCGCATAAAAAAACAAACAAGATGCCTGCCAGTCTACCATCTTTGATCCAATTGCTAAATAAATCGTCATGGACATGTATCCTAACATGTATATTCTATGTACCAAGTTTGAATGACAACTGACAAAGCATGTCCAAAATACATCATTTTCAAAAAACAAGTTGGCTGCCAGTCGGCCATTTTGAATCGAATCGCTAAGCCACTGCATGTGCATATGTCCCACATAAGGTACAAGGCACATGCAAAGAATGAACGGAATCGGTCCACAGGATTCTGAAATATGACTCTGGACAGATTGACGCATCTGCCAACAGTCATGAAATGTTGTAACAATTAAGTGTCAAGTATCAAAGCAATCAGGCAGGTAGATTAGAAGAAATTCCATTTTTTTAAACAAAAATTATAGGAGGATATTCTCAAAGGAAAAAAATAAATACATGTAATAGGTCAACTCAAGGGATCTCCATATGCATTTAGAACATCAGAATAGTGGGTTTTCAAAGAAAAGAACACTGATGGGTGATAAAAAATCATGTATACTGTATGTGAAAAATGTGGTTCTGTCAAGTCTTCAGTGACAGTGGAGATAAAATGTATATGGCATTAAAACAAATTGTATACAATACCTTGATTATTTCTGGATTTATATTTGTTGCAACATATGCATGCAATGATAACAATAGCAATAATAGGAATACCAATCCCAATCCATTTCAGCCATTGTACAGAAGCTGAAATGAACAAGATTAAAAATATTAAATTGATATAACAGCATGTCAAAAAGTGCGTCTGTTATCAGATAATGATATAAGCAATTCAACAGCATTCAAGTACCGAGTTTCAATAGATTTGTGCAAACAGATGCAATAATAGACGATGAAAGTTTATGCCTAAACAAATTATTATGCAAATTATCTCATTAACATTATTATCTAATAAGCACAGATTTGACCCCAAAGTCTAACTAGGTCTGGTGTTCATAATATGGTAGCTGTATACCAAGTTTAATATCAATATTGTTCACAGACAGACATAGGTAGCTAGTTATTTGTACATGCCTTACTCATGGGTGCCAAGAATTGACACTGAAGTAAAATCCACATACCAAAGCATTGGTGGTGTTTTTCAACATCGCTTTAACTAATGGTTTAATTGCTTTGTGAAATTTCATTGTTTTTAATGACTTTTTCACATTGCAGAAGTGTGCATTCTACTGGTACTGAACTCTATACTTACATTTTGCGGAAGGTACTATAGGTTCTATTGGAATGGGAACTGTTGTGGCATTGGCAGTGGCATTCAGAGACGTACCGGTAGTATCTAATGATATAAAATATTACAGAATGGATAATTAAACTACCTCTTACATTCAAACATAATCCTTCCAAACGACTTTTTTATTAAAAGAACAAATGCACATATTTGCAGTATTATTCATTTATAATATCAATTTGACTAATTAATAACAATCATGGCATTAAAAACATTTGGTAATAGCTGTTCTAAACTGACAAGTAGCATTCCTAATTTGTATTACAGTATATGCAGGACATGTCCCACTGACTTCTGTAATTGCGTAAAAAAATAATAAAATCAGTTGCTATGGCAACAAATTTTGAAGTGTCCACTACATGTCATAGTGTCCATACCGTACTCGACCACGTTAGCGCCCAGGGGCCTCAACTCAGAAAATCGCCATTTTTAGGGGTGGCCGCTTACCCGAGCACTCCCCTCGAAAAAGAGTGCAAATGAAAATTTTGATTCATCATGTGACAGATTACGTCTTTGAGGGAAAATCAAATTACGAAATTAGTTGCGTCGTCATTGATTTTTACGATGAAGAAACAGAAATAATCACAAAAAAATATGCACATTTTATTACAATATTAATTACGTACCACTAGAATTTACAAAATTAAAAACATTAGAGTCTGTTGGAACACAGTCAAAGTAAAAATTCTCATCATTATCTCCACTGACGAATGTGTTAGATCGTCCACAAACTGTCAATGAAATTCACTTTCCGCCATGATGCATTTGCTGATTTGACCTGCAACAGTGTCCTTTGACCTAATGGGTCAAGTTGGTTATTAACGAATCAGAAATGCCGAAGACTTTCCGGTAACGCAATGCGGAAGTGAATTATCGATGTTGAAGTATGATCTCTTGGAATTGACATGGTTTTTTCAAAAAACTGGTAACTAGCCATTTTTGAGAGGTAAACTGAATATGGCATGAAATATTTACTGCATTTTACTTGTATTAACAGGTCATTGTCAAAGCGTAGTTTACACACAGCGGTCAATAGCCACCACGCTGTATCATGATATAAAAAATGATTACCAGTATTTGTCAAGCAATAATCAAAGACCAAGCTTTAAATTAGTTGCATTTTGAAAGGGTGGACGCTTTGCCGAATGTTACCCCGAATATAAAAAATGCGCAAAAGTGGGGGGTTGGCGCTTGCCCGGGGGCATGGGCAATAACACGGTCGAGTACGGTATATCAAACATAATTTTCCTTGTTGTAATCACTCAAATCCATTTGCATATAGGCATTTTGAGATAGGCAATAGGAGAACTTCTAAATCAGATTTTTTGGATTCTGTTGGATATGTTTTTTTCTTTAACTGTACAACAACCAAATTCCTTATTAAGCTTACGATGCTTACAGGGGTCAATGAGAGGTTTAATTTATACAGTTAGACAAAGCTGGAATTTAATTGTCATTTATGTAGCAAATCATGTACAACAACCAGAAACCTCAATAATCCAGTGAAACACAAACCTGTTGACTGCTGCTGAGTACTGATCGTGTTACTACTGGTCTTACTACTGCTGTGAGTGGTGCTTATGTTATTGCTGACTGGCAATGCAGGGGTTGTAAAATCACAGGAGCATTCAGATCCTTGTTTGGGTTCAAAGCACCACTGAAATGGTTTCATTTCCTCTGAACATTTGTCAACAAATTCTTGTCTGTCTATCTGGTCTTGACAACAACAGCTACAGTCCAGGCAATATCCAGCAAGAGCATCACAATATTTCCTGCAACAACAAAAAAACCCACAGAATTATACTTGTGAATAAATGAATTAATTTCAAGATATACTTAACTATATCATACTCTAGTGTTTCACTGACACACAAATGAAATGAGAGATGAACTAAATGTTTCCTTATGTGTTGATTACTATATGCAAATGAGATATACATTTATATACATAAACAACATGCATGAACATGTGTCAAGCTTGCAATACTTCATAACTATATGTCGAGAAAAACAGCACAAATTCAAACATGAAACAATCCTTAGCAACCAAATTTATACACGTTAGACATAGTATTCTTGTTACACTGTTCAGCAGTCTCAATAAACATCCCATGAAAGTACTGTTTTCAGCCTTTGTTTTCACCGTGATGGTTGCTAGGAGATGAAAATGCCTGGCTGTCTGCTCCCAAGAATAGGCAATAATAATGCATGTAACAAGTTCTAATCCGTTTAAACATTTAGCAAAACAAAACACTAGCAAATAAATCTAAAACAAAAATGTTGAAAGTAAAGCTGAAACTATCTGCAAGATTCAGAAAATCATTGTTTTTAAAAGTTTAGAACATGTTTCCCTCAATTTGCTCATATGACATCCCAAAATATCCTTAAAGTTAGACTTGATTTCCAGTTCACATAATCCTGCTTCAACTGTACTTGTATATTTGGCTTCTTGGTTTATGCATGTTGAACACTACAGTATTTGTTTGGAACATATGCAGGAGACCTACTGGTGAAACTTAACTATGGGCTAAACCAGGGCATACTAAATCTTACTAGATCTGTTATGTAATAATATGGTTATTTTAGGACTATTTTGACAAGCTTAAGAAATGTTGGATGTATCATGTTAATAATCACTAAAACTAGAAAACAATTTCAACAAACCATGTACATTTTTGTGAAATCATGCCCAAATTGTAACTCGATGTTCAATTACCACCAAGCTTCAAGTTTTTTGTTTTGTTGAACATTGTATGTTGCCTATGACTCAAAGTTCTGTCATTTGAAGATGTCAGCATCCCATATTTTATGTTTTTGTCATATTACCTCAAACCCTGCAAATGGAAGTGTGCATGGAATCATGGGAAGAAACAGTGTGCATTGCCTTGTGATAACTGTCATAAAAGTGATTGACAGGTCATATTTGCTTTCAACTCTGGAAGGACAGTTGAATCTACCAGGTGTGCTTGTGATTTACATAACAAAGGAGCATTTACAACTTTGGAAGGAGAATTGGAATCTACCAGGTGTGCTGTTATTTGAATCATGCCTATAAATTAGACAGACTCAGGACAGCTGGGGTCCTGTGTGTGCTGCTACGACATTGTGTGACAAGTGATACAGGCTTGGATCATCATTCTGTGAGACTTGTATGAACTGCTTAGCGGTGCCTTCCAGAATAACAGCGTCTCTCTGCAAGCAAGACTCCGGTATTTCGACGTTGTTGTGTTGCAGTCCTTGATTGTCGTCCATTTCTACATTCTGGAACTGTGAGTTATCACCAATGCACACTTCCCTAAGCAATCCCCTATTTTAGTGACATTATTCATTGTATTGTTCTGTGCTTTATTTCTTGTAATTATTTTGAGAGGTATTAAAGCCAGTACTATTGTCTTGTCTACCCAATTCTAGCAGTGAAAGAACACCCTGTGCAGTATGAGTTCTGTGGGTGGCCCTCTCAATTGCGATAACAGGCGTTGAACTGTGACAGAAGATTGAGTTACAATTTGGGCATGGTTTCTAAAATACGAGCATCATGGAGCATGGTCATGTTTTCCTAAA